ACCTTCCACGACCTCACCCGCAATGGTGGCTTATGTGGGGAATAGCCCCCAACCACCTTATATTTCAGGTCGGTGAAATATTATAATTCACCCAGCATTTTGCAGATTGATTGCCTGGCACCGAAAAACTTTGCAGTGAGTGCAGGAAAGTGACGGCATTGGCACCTTCGACCAGGCTCGCCGGGTTGCCTCAGAAAAAAGGTAAGCGGGTGACGGATGCTCGGAGGTAGTGAGTTGCAAGACGTGGCTTGGTTGCTTGGCCTGCTTTGCCTGTTACAGTGTCAAAAACCACTCCAAGTCTGCACCGACACATTTGTTGCCCTTCCCAATGCCTTTGTTTGCAAAAATGGGTCAACGGCATCGTGCGAGGTGCTGAAGCATATTGACATACTTCAGCGTTGGAGGCGGGCAAATTGTTATGGGCTCTACTGCTCTTGGGTTGGATCTTTAGACTTTGACTTTTTTTGGTTGCCCTATGCTTCCTTTTAACCTGCAGAAAGAAGTTAAACCTTTGTCTGGGTATCTACAGCACCCAAGGCACATTGCTCGATGCCATGAGATGCCAGTTTCGGATTCGCTGAAGCTCTCGAGCCTCGTGGATTCTTGTCACCGCTAGGAAGCCAAGAGTCAAGACAGAGAAGAAATCATCGGAAGGGGAGCACTCCGAGACCAACGAAAGGACAGTGGCTGTTTCAAGCCCTGCAAGGGCCAGAGTTCAAGCTGCTGAAAGGCATGGGGGTGTACGCCAAGAATCACTTGGACATTTCACTCGCAGGATTTGGATCTTCATGGACATTCGTACGGACAAAACGACAGGTGGAAATCTTGATATGAAGGCCCGACATTCGCGGCGGTCGGGCGTGTGTTGCAATGTTGAGGCGAAGATATGCCGGATTCAGCGTTGCCAACGTGAGCCGGTTAGCGCCGCGAGACACACAACACACATAGTTCAATCACGTCGAGGCATCCAAAAACAACTGGAAGAGATTGGGAGGGGGCGGGCTCGCCCAGCTTCGGGTCGGAGATTTTGAATGTGAGCTCGGACCGCTGCTTGCTCACAGCGGGTTGAAGAACATTCTTGTCGAAGGACTTGGCATCAAGCTTTGTTGGCATCTTGTGTGCCTCTCTTTGGGGTTGGGCGCGCGAAGCTTCGCCAGTTTGTGAACGACATGGCCAAGATGGGATTGCTAGCGAAGGCGGCTTAGGGAGTTTCCCCATTCGTCGTAGTCCCGTTTTCGTGTTCTATGTCCAATACTGTGGATGGACGAAATCCTGCACCACTTTGAAACCACGGGGAACCATTGTTTGCTTGGTATTTACAAGGGAATTGTTATTCCAGGGTTTCTTATGTGCTTCAGGATTTCGTCCATCCACAGTATCTCCATGATGAGTGAGTGGAGATAGCAGGGCCTCTTACACGTACAGATGCAAGCCAAACAGCGCAGTGCACCGGACTGCCACTTTTCAGAGCTTTGCTGCAGCGGAATCCCTCACCCTTAATAGCAAAAGCCCCCCCAAAAAAAATGAAGAAGAAGAAGAAGAAGAAGAAAAAGAAGAAGAAGAAGTGTTTGCACAGAAAACATGTTTCGCGTATGAGGCGGTTGTCAGGTTGAGGTGGCTAATAAGCAAAGCATATCGCCTGGCTTTGGTTCTTGCACCTTTTGTAAGGGATGTAGACGGTTCAAGTCGGTGTGCAAAACCTTTGGGCCTGACAGTTTCTTTGGTGGCTTCCGGGCACCCCTTTTCAGGCTAGTTGGGGACGATAGGGGAAATAGCTGTCTTAGTATGTGTTTGAAATTGGCTTCTAGATTTAGTATTCCCAGACCTGGAATTAGGGGAAATGTTGGACGAATACTTATGGCGCTTATGGCCACCTTTGTTACGAAGGGATGATTTGCTGCCCGGCATACTTCATGCCCCTGCATGAGCCCAGGATACGCCAAGTTGATACCCTCATGGAAGTGCACAGACCCGTGTAGAAAGACTACTTTCCTCTTGGAAGGACCTTTTGCACTTGCATGTTAGTTGGTGGGAGGCTTTAAGGGGTTCTTTTTTTTCGGGCTTCTTACAGGTTGTTGTTGGAAAACATTTTACATTTTTGCTTGTTGTGGTTTAGTGGGAAATCCCCACTTAACTGCTATTTTTGTTTTCCTCCCCTTCCAACGTCAACCAAGTTGAGGGGTTAGGGGATCGAGTTACGCTTCGCCCCTTTTCAGGGTCCATCGCTCGGGCGCGCGCCCTTTGCGCCGGGCCAGGAGCAGCTGAGTCTGACCCCGTGGTTCCCGAGCCAGGCGCTCTTGCTCTTTCAGCCGCCTGGCCGATGGGCTTTCGCTGGCTTTGGAAGGGAAAAGGACAACGTCGCAATGTGTGGTGTCCCCCCAAAAACAAACAAACAAATTAAACAATTCAATCAATGAGAAAACAAACAAATTAATCACAAATCAATCAATCAATCAAACAACCAAGCAAGCAACCAAACAAAAAAAAAAACAAGCAAACACCCACCCACCCACCCACCCACCCACCCACCCACCCAACCAACCAACCAACCAACCAACCAACCAACCACTCAACCAACCAACCAACCAACCAACCAACCAACCAACCAACCAACCAACCAACCAACCAACCAACCAACCAACCAACCAACCAACCAAACCAAACCAAACCAAACCAAACCAAACCAAACCAAACCAAACCAAACCAAACCAAACCAACCAACCAACCAACCAACCAACCAACCAACCAACCAACCAACCAACCAACCAACCAACCAACCAACCACACACACACATGCAAAACACACACACAAACATAAACACGCAAACACAGAAACAAAACACACACACACACAAACACAAACACAAACACGCAAACACGCAAACCCGCAAGCACACAAGCACACAAGCACACAAGCACACAAGCACACAAACACACAAACACACAAACACACAAACACACAACACACGCAAAACACACAAAACACACACAAAAACAAAACAAAAACACACAGACGCACACACGCACACACGCACACACGCACACACGCACACACGCACACACGCACACACGCACACACGCACACACGCACACGCACACACGCACCCACACGCTCACGCACACGCACACGCACAAGGAGACACACACACACACACACACCCACGCACGCACGCACGCACGCACGCACGCACGCACGCACACACGCACACGCACACGCATATGCGCATATGCACGCACACGCATATGCGCATATGCGCATATGCGCATATGCGCGTTCACGCGCACGCACACGCTCACGCGCACGCAGCAGTGGCGACTTAATTTAAATGTCCGAAATTGGCTCCAAGGTATGCCTTGCATCGCGATGAGAGGCCACGCTTGCCTGAGTGGATGAGACTTGCTTTACTTTTCATAAGGAGAGAACATGCATATTTGAACAAGCTCCGCAAGGTGTTCACATGGGACTCGCCATCACCAGAATGTCACTAGGATCATGGTCTTGGGACCTGCTGCAGGGTCCGCAAGAGCAACCAGTGCGGACCGTTCCCTGTGCCTTGCAGGCACGCGCCGTCGAGCGGGCAGTCAGAAGGACGGGACATTTCGAAATTGCGCCTCTCAGGGGGCTTCCGCAGGATCTCCAGGTTGCCTTGTTGGCTGTTTTGGTAGCAAATCGATGGGCCTGGTTGACCTGATTGTTGCATAATCTACCAGGAAAATCCATCTATTTCCCCCAAAGGACGCAGATGACCAGACCTGTTTGGAGTTCCCACGGCCTTCCGCTTTCTGAATGTCACCAGGAATTCAGGGCGCTACGGAGCGTCGCGTCAAAGAGGCCAGCCTGATCAATGACACTTCCACTGAATGATAAAGAGGCCAGCCTGATCGTTGCTGAGCTTGCAAATGGGTGTGTCTTTCTTTGAGGGAACCAACTTTTCGCTGTTTTAAAGGGAAACTAGAAGGAAACCACTATTTTGGGGGGTCCTCCAAATTTGACACATACCCAAATTAAATGGCAAGCAGGTTGCACAACATGACCTGTGAGGAACTTTGGTGTCCAATTGCGCTGCGTACGAGCGTGTTTGAATTCTTTGCAAGTTTGCAGCACTGGTTGTCACTGCATTGCTGATGCAATGAGCGCGAGCGAGCACAGAAGCCGCTATTATTTGGCCCAGCGACTGTGCGCTTGCCAGGAACGGATGCGGAAGGAGCGAATTCACCAACCACCGAGCCCTTTCAACATGCCGGTGCCCGCGAACTTCGAAGTTTTGGCCGAGAGTGGGGAGCGCAGGTCAAAGCATGACAACTAGCAAGCCACATTCGGGCATTCTTGCGTAGTGCCACAAGAAGACGTTGAATCCGAAGGCGTGAAGCCATTGAGGGCCACAGACACGTGCCAGCTAGCGAGCCCCAGACAAACTGACTTGTTTAAGAGGAGATGGGAATAGCGAGCGGCCCGGACCCCTAGCCTTCGGGAGAAATTGGGGTAGGCCCCCCTAGCAAACTCCCCAAACGAAGACTCCAGTATTTTTATGACGCCAGCAAAGCCCTTGTGTAGATGAAGGGTTGACAATCCCAGCCAAATGCTGGTGCTTTTCTGGTTCATTTGCTTGCCCGTGTTGGTTTCGTCAGGTTCCGAGCTTCGGTGGCTTCGGCTGCGGCAATGGCCTTGCGGGCAGAAGCGACATGCCACGAGCTCAGATCAAAGGTGTTTGAACGGTTTGCCATGCTTCGCCGCGTGCCACGTTCGCAAAATGTTCGGCTTTTGTTTGTTCTTTGCTTTCCCGAAATCAGCCAAAGGATGAGAACTGCCTCGCCATTTGCCGACAGAGAAAAAAGCCCCAAGAACCGTTGGGGAGGGTTGTTTGTTGCTCATACCGCTGATGTAGGAAAGCCTGCACCAGTTGATAGGGCTTCACCCATCCCAACTCAGGTTTTTCTCCATCCACAATTTGTGTTGGGCACAGAACTGTGGAGAATTGAGAGCAAGTTTGTGAAGCACCGAAACTCCGGTCAGCCACCTGCGCCGCTGGAACGGATCGAGGCCTGCGGCCCCGGCTCCGGCGGGAGACGAAGTTTTTTTTCTTTTTCTGGCCGACGTCGGTGTTGATCGGTCAACGTCCCACCGTCGCAAATGAGGGCAAACGGAGAGGGGAACTGCCAGTCCCAGGGGACGCGAGTGGCCTCGCAAAGCAGACACTGGCAAAGAGACTCACCGATCCTGTGAGCCGTGTCATTTTTGTAGTTGTATGGGGCCTGCACACTGTACGCGGAGGCTACGCGGAGCATATTTGGAGAACTGGCTACACGGAGAGCAGTAGCAAAAGCGAGGAGCAGGAGCAGCAGCAACAGCAGTAGCAGTAGTACTAGCAAGAAAGGAGCTAGATCTTTGCAAGATGAAAGGTTTCCCCATCAGCTCTAAGTTTAAAACCAAGGCTACGCGGCTACATGGCCCAGAACTTTCGGCACCCTCCCTGCCACAAACATAGCATCTGGAGGTTTATCAACTCCCTTATGAAGCGACCCCCTGTCAGGTTTCGCGCAAGTGGGAAGGGTAGTGATGGTCCATTTGGGAGGGATGTCAAACACAAACTGTGGGACTCTAATATTCCCATGACGTCTTGGGGAGGCAAGTAGTCTTGACCTTTGCTCGCATGAAAGGCAAAAAGCCACGCAAATGTTGCATGGAATTCGTGAAAGTCATGCCATTCTGCTGGAATTGCGACATGCAGATTTGTACGCTCAAGGATGGAATCACGGACGTCATGGAATTCTTGAAAGGTCAGGGAAGTAGAATTCCTGGAAGCTGGCATTCCTGGAAGTCCGCGTGGCTAAGAAACTCGAGGCATCCGTTCGGCTTAGTTCACAAGATCCAGGCCCCAGGTCTTCCTGGCGAAACATGGCACCAGTTTGGTTCTAGTTGAGTGCCGTGTTGTTTTCTCCAAAAACATGAGGACTGCACTGACCGAAACAGGGCCAAGTTTACAGGCGCAAGCAAAATGAGGCTGTTGTGGGATGCGTTGCATGCCGCTTTGCTTGAGGCAAAGTTTGATGAAACATTCCATGGGGCTCATGTGCCTGTCATTCTTTGGAGAGGCTCCTTCGATGCCTATGAAAGGCTGGGAAGGGCAGCGCCAGCTGGGACTGATTTTGTAACCCCCTTCGTAGCACTCCAGTACATTGCCAAACGAAAGTCGCGTTTCCGGGCCTATGCTCTGCACGGAGAGGTGTTCGGTGTTCTGCAGATTGATCTTCGCTCGGAACGCAACAAGCGGTCTCCGAGGAGCGTCACCGCTTCAATCAAGAGCTTGGCACTTGTCAGGTGGGGGCTTCAATGGCATGTTGGGCCCAGACATGGAGGACGGGGTGATGATCTGCTGCACAGAGGAACCGAAGCACGGAGTTACGTAGACACTGTAGCCCCATACAGAACCTGGAAAACCAAGTTCACCAACGAAAGTTGCGCAAACATACACAACTGTTGAAATAGTGGTGTGTGTTTTTAATTCGCCGACTGGGCTAAAGCAGCTAGTCTAATTGCAACGACTCCTTTGTAGCAGTAACTAGCATGTCATGTTGGACGATAGTTGCTTGCCCAGCAACTGTTCTGTTGTGTTTGCGAGCGCTGCAAATCTTGGCGTTCTTGCGTTTTCAGCGATTTGACAAGCGGGTCACCGTCAGCGGCCGAAATTTCCGCTGCGTTGGCTGAAAAGCTCGTGGGTGACAGGTGTGACGCTGTTCGTACCACCACGCTGGTTGGTGCAACTATCATTCGCACAGTCAGACAGTGTCGACACTCCTTTTTCTTCTTCTTTTTTTTAATCTAGCCGTGAACAACGCAAACTTCCAGCTTTGAGCATGATGTCTCCTGTTAACCTCCGCTGCAGGAAGCTTGCGATGGAAAGAGGAGGAATCATGAAAGTTGAGGCGGAGAGCTTTTGAATATTCTTTGCATGATCTCGAACAATATCCTTCAGACTCATCCGACAGATGATTTGCCTGTATCTATCCACGCCAGCCACTTTTGTACTTTGCCATTTGCGAAGCGGCCTGGGAACAGCTTTCAGCGTGACGCCCAGTGTTGTTTGTGTCGCTGTGAGGCATAAAGCTTTCCATCTTTGCGACCCGTGGCTTCTACCACACTTTAAACAAACTGCCCGACGCCACCACTTCAAGCAAAACTCTGGTATTGCAAAGTAACATCTTGTCGGTTTCCGAGGCCAAGGGGCGCAAGTGGATCTGAAAACTTGCGAAAATGGCAATTGTTTGGTAAGTATGGTAAAATACTTTATTTTGTTGCGAAAAACACACCATGTTACGCTTTGTTGTTCTTGCGAGCGGCGCAGTTTCCCATGCAGTTGCCCCGCAATTACTCAAAAGGGATCGTGGCATCGCCTTGCGCGACTGGCTTTAAAAGATGCGATAGCACACAGGTAAACACACGATTAGATGTTTTCTTCGCACCCGTTGCATTTGGATGAACACCGGCGATGCCCCCCGAAT